TTTTTTTTTTTTTTCTTTTTTTCTCGTTGGAATCTCGTCGACCCGCTTCACCCAGCACCGTCTGATTCAGACGAAACGATCGAAACGAGAGCGTATACCCGACACTTTATAACTCGTTTGCTCGATCCACGGGCCACCTCGTAAAATAAAACGCCTGCATTTTGCCAATTATTCGCTTCCGATTTTCTTTTTGTCTCTTCCCCGTCTTTCTGTCTTCTCTTTCCTCCGCCCGTTCTTTTTTGTTTCTCTCTTTCTCCCTCTTTTTTCTTTTTTCTTTTGTCTTCTTCTTTTTGGTATTCTCATCCACGACGACTCGTTGCACTCTCGCGGAGATTCCATTTAGAAATATTGGCTTGTTATATCGGAGGAATATGGGGATATCTGTTCGCGAGTTTTTATCCTTCTCTGACGTTTGTTATTTCGTTTCGCTACGTTCTTTGGATGTGTTTCTTCGCTTTTTTGAAATGAATTTATTTGAGGCTAGATTTTCATTTGTTCATTAACTTAGTACAATAATATATTACTGTTTTGCTAGAAATAAAATTTTGCAATATACGGTCTTTTATATTTTTCTATGTCTATTTATCCAGCATACTATGTTCTCAAAGAAAGATATAATTCTCTGCAGTAATAGTAATTCAATTTCTTTTTACATTCGTATGATTGCAAATCTAAATTGATGGTATATATTACACCATTTACTTGCAGAATTGATTTTTTTTTTTTCTTATCTTCGATCGCATTCACGTTTGTCAGTATAGCTGTAAATTATAATGCGAACAATATAAACAGTATTATTAATCTAAAAGAGTATCAAGCTTCTATTTTTTCCAATTAATTTGCATTATCAAGTTTTACGTTTTAACATATCGCAGATATATTGAAGAAATATCCTAAGGATTTGTTTTTAATATTGTACCTCCCATTTAGATTCTGCAGTTTCGTAAAAAATCTAAAGAGATCAAGGTGATATCAATCTGAAGCTTCGTGTTCTCCGAAAAGCAAGTCCCACTCTCTTATTAAAATCGATCGAAACGAAATTATATTTTTTTTTTCTTTTTTCTTTTTTTCAATGTTCCACAATTCCAGAGAAATCTGGAATGCTGAGATGCTTAAATCGATAAATCGAGAGTGCAACGATCGAACGATGAAAGGTACGAAAAAAA